GTACTATTAAAAAAATATTATTAAGATTTAGTAAAGTTTCTCAGTGCATGTAACAGTAGCTGTATATATTCAGATAAAAACATATCTATCGCATCAATTGTAATTCAAAACATGTTCGTATTAAATACTATTAGAAAAAAATTATTTCAAAGAGAATAGTGCGAGATATAAAAAAAGATAATAAATTCTATAAAATATATATGTTTCCTTTTGCATTATTAATTGTCATCGTTAGTACTCTGTCTTTATTTTATTATCCGGGAAATACGGACAACAAGATTTTTTTAAAATTCAAGTATTGTCACTTTAATATTTAGGAAAGTGATGAAACAAAATTAAGAGGAAGAAATGTAGCATTTACTTTCAGAAAATCGGAGGTAGAGACATCTAGCTATGAAACATGAAAGTTTGATGGTTTGATTTTGTGCACCCCTATGTGAAACCCATCCCTGCCTATCTGGAAGGTGGGGCTTATACGGTATACCCACGATCCTGAATCCACCCCTCGGACAGCCCCGCCGTGTCGTCCCGTATAAGCCGCCCTTCTTCTCTCTATTTCGTGCCCTCCCAGCATCTTCTTCCACGCCATCTGCGGCATTGCAGACTTCGATTTCGCGCGCGTACAAAAGCGGGACAATATTTTCATTTCATTTCAATGGTTTGAAACCATAAATTAAAGCCAATTTGTACAACCTGAACTTTTAATTGTATCGGTGTATGCATAAAACGTTGCCTACCGCGATTGCTAATTGTCTTTCACCTTTAAGAGGTACACAACCTTTTTATCACAAAATGATTCTTGCACGTTCAGCTCGAATCCGCTAATTTATCACATGTGCAATTATTTTCGGCTTGTATTACTAACAAGCGCATGTGTATCATTCTTTAATAGCACAATGTAAAATATAATCTCGAATATTAATTCAACTTTATCATAGTAATTTTTTAGCGTATATAGAAAAAATAAACGTAGAAGAATTTACATTAAATTTACATTTCATATTTAAAGATATTTGTATAATGAGGGAAACTATTGTAAAAATATCGCTCCATATCACTATAAATCGTTAGACAGTAGAAGATTGATCAATAAAGAAATTTTTTGTATGTTTTCCAGTCCTATATAATTTTATTGTAAAAACAAATGTATTTAGTAAATTTTTTAACTTCTAATTAAATTTTTTTTTGTAAATTCTAATAAGAAAAAAGATTGTATTGAGTGGGAAAGTCTACCTGGCTATGGTAACGATTGTTGGAGGCGTAGGAAGAGCAGTTAAAAACAATCTGAACGTTCCATTGATGAAGCGATCGAGATCGTTGGGTTCTGTCACATGCTCGGGTAGAACTGTATCATCTATAGTGCAACCTGCATTGTACACTAGCATCCAATCAACTTCGGAATCTCTGTAGACGCTCGTTACTTCTTGAAAAATCTGATCCACAGCTTCATATCTGAAAATTGCAAAGCATAATTATATTAGTAAGTATTGCGTCATAAAATCAAATAAATTTAATCTGTGTGTTTTTATAAAAATTAAATAATGCTGATATGAATTTACACATAAATGTCATTAGATAAGTATTTTCACATTTGTTTTATTTACTCTCTAAATCTTTAGGAATGAAGATTGAATCAATCTTGAAAAAAGAATAAAAATTTTTCACTCTTGATTGACAAGATTTTTTTCAGAGTAAAATTTCACTCTTTTAGAGTACGATTCACTCCAAAGGAATGAAATCTTCTATCCCATTTTTGAAGTGAGACTTCATATATTCCTTAGAGTGTGACTTTCGCTCCAAAAAATGAGATTTTCAAAAGAATAAAATCTCCTAAAAAATGAAAATCTCCCACTCTTGTTTAAAAGTAAAAACATTTCCATTCTTTTTTCAAGACTGGCTCAATTTTCGATCTTTTGGAGTGCGATTTCACTCCAAGAAATTTAGAAAGTAGCTAAATAAATCGGATATATAAGGATTAATAAGGATATCAAGATATTAGTTGTAGAATGAATATTTATCAAAAGCTTTTGTTAAAAAAAAATTTCTTCAATGATAAAAGCGCTTCATTTACGAAAAGTCGATTACATAGGTAATTTGTAAACTTCATCGCGGACGCGCGTAACGATGGACGAAGGCAAGCGGAGGACAAAGGTGAACGATAGAAAGTTTATAATACCCCAATGATAGCACGTGGCTGCAAAAGTTGAGGTATTTCCTGAAGGCACGCGACGAAAGTTAACACGGCCACAAGAACGGTTCCGGGTGCTCGTAATTTGTACTTCTCCGTTCCTCTACGAACGCTCTTTATCTCCCTCCCTCTAACTCCCTTATAGCGCCGCCCTCTGCTTTTACTCTTATCTGATCATAAGTTTTCCTCGTTTTCTGCAGCTGCAATTCCTGGCGCGGCACGATCGGACGATACCTCCGTTGACAAGCAAGGGCCGATCATCTGTTTTTTTTATTTAGATTATCGATAATGATATCATTGGGGATGACGATGCGGGAACCGCGATGGCAGGCTTCGTAAACCTGTTTCTTAGTAAAAGGACGTTTTTAAGCATACTATGATCTACTCGCGTAGACTATTATTAGTGTTCCGTGGACTAGACATTAGAAAGTTATCGTCATAAATTAAGTTAAAAAAAAAGTGGATTATGATAAAATCTTATTCTTCATTTATTTTTACAGAACTTTACCTCGTGATATTTATAATATCGCACTGAGAGAAATATTTTGTATAAATAATCATAATTTAACTGATACATAAATTACAAAAATTTTCTCATGTTTTAAAAATTGTGTCGTTCTAATCAAAATTTAGTTACAATAACCAAGTTTTGATTAAAACAAAACAACTTATAAATTAAAAAAAATGAGACTTTCTAATTCATGTATCAATCAAATTATGGTTATTCATAAAAAAAACATTTCTCTCAGTGTGAAAGTTCTAAATTTGCAAATAAAATATGATGAAAACTTTTAACGATCGAATTTATTCCAAATTTTAGAAGAGGAATACTAATTAATACTCGATCGCAATTAGTTCCCACGACCCGTATGTCAATGTAGAATTTAATAGGAGAGAATCAAGAGAGTGTCTTATACAAAACGCGAATACTGTCGCGCGACCGACGTAAATTAGTAGATGCACGCACCGGAAGGTGAGGAGACATTCTTGATATTAATAACGAAAACGCACGCAGGCCCTTCACGCTGTATCATTTCACCGCTGATGCATGGGCGAGCGCATAATTTTCGAATTAAGGTAAGCGGTCTTGAGTTTGGGTGATCACGGCAACCAAACCCAAGACCGCTCCGTTCGTAATAGGTTCGTAATTGGTGAGAAGATATTCTTTCCTTTCCTTTTTCCTTTCTTTATACGATGGTACCAGGTGCGCGCGGCCAACAAGCGGTGCGCACCTCAGTCGCTAACGCGTCAACTGTTTATAAGAGGAGGCCATCGTCGAACCTTTCTCGCCCACTTTTTCCTCGCTGAATATTAATTATTCCTCTGAAAGTCGCACCTGCCCTAGCCGCCTCTGGGCTGGACACACGCGAGCCCGCTTCTTTGTATTTATCACAGTGATTCCCACCGCAGATTATCCTGACAGTTGGGTAACAATGTCGGTTAACGATCGATCTCGGGGGAACAAGAACGCTATTTCGTCTTCGTACATGCAATTTCATTCACTAACAACGCCGCATATGATTCAATCTTACGATTGCAACCGCTAAAATATCTGAAGATATTTTAAATAATTAGAGCAAGTATACGAATGATGTACACTTAGGTAAAATGTTTAGTCATGTTGAGAGAGAAAAATATAATATATCCACCATATTTGCATTATATTTATATAATATACGATTTTTAAAAATAATAATCAGATACCTACATTTATTTGCAGTGATTCGAGGAAGAATAAGCCAAAGAAAAAGGCAACAGTTTTACGTATGTTTTCTATTCAATATAATATCGATAATAATGTTTATAAAATAAAAAATGCAATCTTTGATTTGAAACATAAACTGATTAATAATCATATACTATAATAAAATGTAAAATGGAAATATTACTCGTAATTTGTTGAAATATACCTATATATCTTTCAAGTTATGGATATCAAGTTAAGGAAAATGTTCGAAATGCTCGCCTTGTGCGTCAACACACTGTGTTATTGTATATATTTTAGCACATCTCGTTTATCTAATATTTACAAATCATTAATAAATCGAACAGAATTTCAAGCAATCGATATCTTATGTCCGCGAGTTACTATTCTAAATACTGTTCTAAGGCTGAATTGTTTCTCCTTTCGATAAACTTCACTGCCTTACTCTCTTATTACTCTCTTATGTTCTTATTCTTTTACTCTTTTGTTTATTCAACAAGTAAATTACCACAGTTTATCTAAAGATGAAACAATCGACTTTAAAAAGTGGCAAAATGATAATGTATAATACATTTATGCCGAAATGACATGCATTTAATGTATAATTTGTATGACCGTATGATGATGTTCCATCTCATTTCTCATTATCTTGAAGTAAGAACATTTTTAAACAATGTCTTCGCAAATCGATAGACAGGTCGAGACGGATCCATCCTATGACCACCACAATCTTCTCTCTGATCTTAGTACATTAGATTTTTGGGGCCATTTAAAATCTATTGTGTATTCGTCAGCGAATAATGTGGATGATTTGTGAGAAAGAATACGAAAAATGGAATTGAGATTATTCAAAGAATACTTAGTATTTTTGAACGAGTGCGGGATTCAATGCTAAGAAGTAGATAATGTGAGTTGATAATGTGAGTCGCACGAGGCGAATACTTTGAATATGTTCTTTAATCCATAACTTGAAAACTGAAGCATGTAGTTCATATGACGTTTTTTATTTTAGTGTATAGATTTATCTCTTAAAGTATTGACGTGCATTTATGAAACACTGTACAATAAATGAAGTATGGTACCTATATTATTCATCATGCAATTTACTGTTACATGAATATTGTTTCAATATAATTAAAATGTACTATTAATAACTTTTTAATTGAGTTGGTTTCTTAGTTTCTAAAATTTTCAGACAAATCTAATCACAAAAATATTTTGTATTGGGAATAAAAGATTTGTGTACATAATAAAATTAAAGCGGTAGATAACAAAGCTTTGCTTTCCGTTTGAAGTTAATTTTATTTTAATAGAGATGAACGAGATGAGGCATGATCGATGATGCTTAACAATCGCTGATAGATATAATTATATTACAGTTATTACAGGAATATGTTTTAATGACGTGTGTTTCGTGAACATTCAATCATAAGAAGCGAAATCACATCGTTAACGCGATCCATTAAGAACTTCAAGATTTGAGAAATCATTAAGTTTACGTCCCTGTGATTTTCTTCGCATAATTCAAATTTAATGCTTGCTATTTAGGACACTTGAAAGTTGCAGATAATTATGGAATTTTGTAAGATACATTATAGGTATAGTAAACATAAGTATACTTTTTGCCAGTAATATGATGTCGATATATATTAATTGTAAAATCTATTTAATCTTATAATTTAATGTGATAACAATTAAATATAACAATTCTGTTTCAGCTATATTTTTTAACCATCTTCAGATACAGTAGATAACAAATATATCTAAATATTATATCGTGACACAATAATAATGTATATAATGCTTAAAAATAAATTCTTCATGGGTTAGTGAAAATTTTACAGTTTATGTGCTATTTTTTGCAATGATGCTCTAAAGAAACATAGAATCTGATCATGCTGTCCAACAGATCGAAGTATCCAGCTCATTAAAAACACGAAAATAAGTCTCTTTCCCAATGCAATAATTAAGAACTAATTTTAAGAATTAGTTTCTTAAGCAATACTAACAAGTAACAAACATAGTTATCAGGCAAAAAAGAAATAAATATTAAATAACTATTAATAAATTATTTATAAATATAAAATAAACTCTGATAAAAAACTTTTATATAAAACTTAATTTTTTAATTGATTCCTTGATAAAATTTCCAGAAAAGTTTAATTATAAAAAATATCTTAGGAATAAAAGAATTTTTGTGCAATAAAATTAAGGCGATAAATAGATAATGAATTTTGCTTCCCACTTGATTCCAAGTTTATTTTCATGAGAGATTTATTTAGAGAAATTTATTTAGAGAACCTATTAATAAATTTAATATTAATATTGAAAGATTATGATAAATGATAATTATCCTTGATATTTTTTTAAGGAAACAGACTTGCTAAAAAATTTTAATCTCCTGAGATATTTTTCAACATTATCCATGGCACTATGTCATTCATCATAAAACATCGGATTTTTGTGTATTGCTATTATGTATGTTATTCTCAAGATCTTATTAAAAAGAGAAAAAATAACAAGATATGGTGGATTATGATTTGTTACGAGTATGAAATATTTTCTTTGTCGTCCTTTACATTATTGACGGTAGTCGCGCGAAACGATATCGAGCGGTATTATCCGCATGCTGTCATGGCTACAATTATATACGGCGGCAAAAACGATCGCGAGATCTCTTTGGACCCTTTTTTTTTATACTTATTCCAGGAAGCAGATGTCACGAGAGACTAGCACCAACGCATCCGCCTCTATCTGTACGATTCATATTTTTCGACGTGTGACCGACCGGTTTTGTATTTCCACTCCTCTCTCTCTCTCTCTCTCTCTCTCTCTCTCTCTCTCTCTCTCTCTCTCTCTCTCTCTCTCTCTCTTTCTTTTTTTTGTAACACAAACTACTATGTCCTCGTACAATGAGTGCAAGCAAGAGAAAGAGATAGAGAAAAGAAGAGAGACCGCAGTAATGAGGAAGGAAGCGAGGTACTACTACTACTGGTCCACGCTGTCCCGACGAATGAGTTAACGGACAATGGCGGTCCACGTTGAAAAAATAAAGGAAAGAGGAACGTTGAACGAAGGGAGGGGGCCCTCATTACGAAGGGCGCCCCCGGTGTGTTTGTCGATAAGGGGGCCTATATGCAAATGGCCGTCCGTCGCCGGGCGCGGCGGAAAGAAAAAGTTTCCCTCTCTCAGAAGCCTGCTGCTTCTCTCCATCTTTTTCTCTCTCTTTCTCTTTATCTGTTCCGATGCCACTTCTCTCGGTGCAGGAATAATGCCCACCGACAGTACGCTCAAACAGGAATGTAAGGGGGAGGGGGGGGATGTGGGGAGGATAGGGAGGGTATAATGTATCGTAATCAGATGATCAATTATTAAGAGCGCGGCAAAAAAACAACGAGGGTTGACGTACGAGCGACAGGACAGGAACGTATCCGGATGCGAGAGGGGGGCCTTCGTCCTTTTCTCTACCTCCGCGATCCACTTCGGGATCTCCCCGAGGCGACCGACATTTGATATGCGTTTTAAGGTTTCATTAGAGCGAATCGTGAGACGCGGGTCCGCACATTGTCTTATCGCGAGGAGCACTATCGCTAGAATTTAATATGCACACACATTATTATAAATGCTTTTAACATTTATCTAAACTGCCACGGATTACCAGATAAGATTACTCATCGAGTTTGTGAGTGACAAGCTGCATAATATATGAAAAAATATTTATAATACTTGGTTATAAAAACATCTATGTTATCAAAAAAGTAGAACAGTAAACATAATATTTCTAAAAAATGCCAATTTTTTTAATAAACAGTTTCGATAAATTCGAGAATGCTCTTTTCTTTCTAGACATCTAATTAATAGCTTTGATTTTTGAATAAAACAAAAAGCTTCTGTTTTTATTTTATGTATATGATGAGATAGGTTTGGAACAAAAATAATTCATGTAGTTACTTTTACATATATTATTTATAGAGATCTTAAACGATATTTTACACGATAAATTTAAAATAAAAAGTTTTAAGAAAGTAAAGAAATTAAATGTTATAGAAGGAAGAGTTATTACCCAGGGATTTTGCATAGTAAAGATATTGCCTTCTTCGAGCTCGATCTTTTTTCTGGTCTGGATCTAACCGAACTTGTTTTACAAAAATGTTTGCCGAGCGTTAGGAAAATGCATCGATATCGGATTACCGATCTATAATGGATATAGACCCAGCTGCGTTCACGCGTATGATCGAAGGTAAACGTTTATTATGCGTGACCCGAAATTTCCGTTATCTATTACCATATGCTCTGAGATGATAATGAAGTGAAAAATTGTTTTTAGGTGCATATTATGTATCAGTAATCTATATCAGAATTTTTCTTCTGGATAAATATGTAATAATGAATAATACTTCGATTACATTATAAATTACAAAAAATATTAATTAGTGTAAATATTTTATTCTAATCAGTATTTTTATCTCGAGTAATTATGTGGTAACCAACTATCAATTAAGTCTAATTATAACTATGAAATTAAAGAAAAAGTAATATGTTTTTAATTTAATTGAGAAGAGATGATTAAATAATATATTATCATTTATTAAATTTAGCTATGCATATTTTAATTGTGTCTATTTAGTAGAATTACATTCAAGATTATTATATGTGTTAATGCAATGTATTGAATAAATATTTCCTCAATTAGATAAGAGATAAGATGTCTAAATTAAAAAATATTTTAATACTTCCGTGTCTAATATACAGGGTGTTTGAAGAAACGATAAAACTCTCGTATAGGAATAAAGTGAAATAAACTGAATCAAAAAGTCCTCTATTATTTTACAATATTTTTGCAATAGTTAATAAGATATCGATTACATACTAAAAATCACCGAATATTTTTAATAATATTTTACTCAAATACTATCAACTTTATAGAAAAATAGCAAGAGACAAAAATTGTTAATTTTTTTCTTATAGAGTTCAAAGAATTTTTTCAAAATTTTTAAATCAACTTTTTAATACGCATTTTCTTATTGGCAATTATTTTTACCAACATCAGAAAATATGGTACTAAAGAATTCTGAAAAAATTCTCAAAACTCTACGAGAAGAAAATAAACAATTTTTATCACTTATTGTTTTTCTGTAAAGTTGATAGTACTTGAATAAAAAATTATTGAAAATCAATTTTTAGTAATTAATATCTTGTTAATTATTATGAAAATTGTGAAATGGTAGAGGACTTTAATTTAGTCCATTCTACCCTTATGTGAGAATTATATTTTATCAAACACCCTGTATATATTTTATATAATATAATATGATAAATAATATTGCAATTGAGATAAGAATTAACGAGATAATTGAAAAGTGATAATAAACGATAATAAAGATTCATAGATTGGGGTTTGGAGCTATTCAAATTACTGGTCCAATTAAGTAACACCCATTACTGATATTGGAAGCTTCCATCGCTCTGTTAGTGTCAGGCGGATACCTGTCAGGTGACACGTGCCATTCGGAACTCGGAACACGATAATTTGGCGCGCACTCGCAGGTAGAACGGGACGTGTTTGGGGCCGTAACAGGTACACATTTATATCGAGAAACGATCCTAAGGGGCCGCCCCATGCTACCAATCAATAGATATTCATCCCCATCGAACGATTCGGATGTATTGTCGATACTGGATGCATTCAGCTGCATTGTGGGATAGGCAGGTTGCACTGTTGCCACCGATGTGCCGCGGCAGAAGTTGAAAAGACCATTGACATCGTGTCAAGCACAGGTCGATCTTTTTTGTTACTACGATTTGTCTTGCACGAGAGATTCACTCGAAAATGTATTAATCTCGACAAACAATACCTTCTGATAGGCAGTATCGTCCTGGCAACAAAAAAGAGATCCTTTTTATGTTATTTAGTTAAGAAATTAAGGAAATCAGTTTGATTTACGTACAAAATTTTATTAAAAATAATATTCCTCATTTTGTTACAAAATAAAAGAAGAATACAAAAATTGAAAAAATATTGCATAATTCTTATAATACATTAATT